TTTTTATTATTTTTATTTTAAATATTTTGGAAAAATGAAATCTGCGAATAGGTCTCAAATTTTGCAAACTACCACCCCTATAAATTTGGACGCCAAGTTCGGAAACACCCTGTATAGAAACTGACAAAATATATTTTTTACTTCTGATATAAATATACATTTTATGTTTCTTCTGAAGTCCAACGGGTCCTTGTTTTCTTTTATAAAATTATTTGTAACTACTTTTATTAAAAAAAATTCTGTAGAAAACCGTTTTTTTTTAATAATGTAGGTTTTTTTAGTAAAGCTCTTTGACTTTTCTTGCTTTTTGTTGTGTTTAATGCTTGTAAGAAACCATGTCGTCTGATTTTAAATGTAGAGTGGACAGAGCTGCAATTAGTTTAATAATAGTGAATGATATTTTCAAAATAATACTCGAAAATTTTACCATAAGCGTTTAATTTCAGTTTAGGTTCGGTCCCTTTATTATTTCTAACGATTTTTGTCTGTAAAAATTAAAAATTATTTGGAACTTTCGGCAGACAACAGTAACACTACGGCTAGCTACAGGCTTGCCAACATTTCAAAATATTTCGGGATATAAACAAAGTGTGATCCGAATTCAGCTTTAAGGCCGTACCATAATCCAAAATGTTTAAAATAAACCATTCACATAATAATATTTCTCTTTATAATTCAAATAAAAAGTAATTCATTTGAAATTTTATGGAAATCATTACATGATTTTCCTTGCTGTTTTGTAACTTGTCTTCCAAAAAATCACACTACCGATATTATAAAAACTCTAAAACAAGAACAAAGTTCAAAAATAAAAATATAAACACCAGTAAATAACAATAAAATATTAGAATTTTTAAAAAACTAATGTACGACAACAAGTAAAATATTTTCTGTCAACTCACTTTAACATTCCGTGACGTCCCTGCGACCTTAGCAACCGTGACGAGGCCATCGTGTTGTCTACGAACCGTGATTCAAGCTAAGCGATACACCCTCTGGAGGAAATTGTAAAAGGTGTTTATAAGTGGAAATTTTTCCAATTTTGCCAACAGCAGCGGAATTCCGCTACGTAAGCGGATTTTAACACCTTGTAGCAGCGGACCTTTTTTTATAACCAACAGCACCCTATTATTATGCCTCCGCTGTCCGTCCGTCTGTCTGTCGGTGAGCTATATCTTATGATCCGTAATAGGTAGATAGTTGAAATTTTCACAGGATGTGTATTTCTGTTGCGCTATAACGGTTTTTTTGGCTTTTTTTGCCCGATCTTAATAAAGCATTTAAAAAGTACCTACATAGTATCAAATCTTATTATACGATGGTGCGGAACCCTTCATGCGCGAGGCCGACTCGCACTTGGCCGGTTTTATTTTAAGTAGCCATAAACAGCGAAATTTTTGTCTACCAATACGTAATCATACTCTGTATTTATTTAAGGATTTTTATAAAACCGATTTAATTACACTGATTTTTTTTTTAATTTCAGCTAATTTATCAATTTTGTTATAAAATCAGTTCATCAGTTGGCAACATATGCGTTTGTATTTGATGTTTATAGTTAAATTTGTATCAATTAAAATCCGATTTTTTTATTATTTGTAAGCTTTAAATTTGTTTATTTCTCATATTATGTGATAGTGTTTATATTAAAAATTATATTTGTGAAAAAGCCTTCAGCAAATTGCATTATTTGGTGTGAATAGGTTGAATTTCAAAATCAAAACGTACATTCTCATTATTTTCCAAGCGTAAGTACTAGAATTTTGTTTCTTGCGATAAATGGATATCTATAAATTCACATTATTGAAATTTTATTTCTAGAATCAAACTACATACTGCATTGTGTTTACAAAGTGTCACAAACCACAAAGTTCACTTCAGAATAAGGTAGGTAAATACAATATCGCCAAGCTGGCAATAACGCCAAGGGTTCATATCTTGAAAGGTTTGGTTTCTGAAAGACAAATGGCGCTTGGGGTACTTTCCCAATAGTAAAAGCAATCTACATTTCAATTTGTGGTGAATTCTAACCTCACATTATCGTTTAGCAGTTGGTTTCCCACCTAAACTGCTTTGCCATCGCCACAGATGTAAGTGATTAATCGTGATATTTACTGGATATTTCAAAGATTGTGCAGGTAAGTGCTTCTTTTCATCAGCAGTAGTTTTTAGTAAAGAATGAGCTATCAACTAATGGTAGACATTTAAAAATCGTATGTTTTTTGCCGAAGTAAGCAAAAAACAGTGCGCGTGTTTGTAATATCGCCAAAACAACCGCGTAGCAATATCGCCAATGGCGATATTGCCAGACATGTATACTTTCAGGTTTTCTTGAACTTATACTAAAGGAACGTTCATTATTCATTATTATGCAGAATCATCATGAATAAAGCAAGAAATCGAGGTATCAGAGGGAAATGGTTGGAAAAAAATATGCAGCGTGCCCTAGCAGCTGTTGAAAATGGCATGTCTGTGAATTCAGCAAGTAAGGAATTTTTGGTTCCTCGTAGGATCCTAAAATACTACTTACGTAACCATCAAACAACAAAATCTGCCATGGGTCGCAAATCAGTTATTAATTTAGAACAAGAGGAATATTTGTGTGGAAGACTAATTAGTTTGGTGGAAGTAGGCTATCCCTTAACTTCGAAAGTTTTACGGCGATGCGTGTTCAATTTTTGTGAGACCAACCAAATTCAAAATCCGGAATCGGAAAGCTCAAAGCATGAACCCCGCGAGAGCTCAGAAACTAAATAGGTTTATTGTAAGTGATCATTTTGAAAAATTGAGCGAAATGCTTGCTAACATGGACTTCATGGACAAGCCTGAGCATATCTACAATATGGATAAGAAAGGCTGTCGGTTAGCATTACATCACCAACAAACAGTCCTTGCAAAAACGGAGCAAAGCGCGTGCACCTTGTGGCAAACGAGCATGGACAAAACGCCACAATAGTATCTTGTGGAAATGCCCTGGGTTTAGTGATTCCTCCCTAAATTTTATTAAAAGGAAAAAAGATAAAGCCTGAATGGGCAGATACACTTCCGGCGTCTAGTATGGTGTTAATGACTCCGAAAGGTAGTATGACCATTAATGCTTTTAAACAATGGCTGCATCATTTTGCCAAATACAAAGTTGCTGGTCAATCTCTTTTAATTTTTGATGGTGCTAAGTGCCATCTGGATTATTCTATTGTCATGGTCGCAGAAGAGTTGGGTATATTGTTATATTGCTTGCCAAGCAATACAACGCACGACTATGGATAGGTCTGTGTTTCGCTCATTTGAACACTATTGGGATGACGAAGTTCCTAAATACTGGTCAACACATAGGGCTCGTGCTATAACAAAACAACGTTTTGGAAACATTTTTTCTGTAGTTTGGGACAAATGTATGACACCATTAAACATTAAAACTGGTGTCGCAGCAACTGGAATTTATCCGTTCAATCCGGACATTTTACCACCCGAAGCATATGCTTCAAGCAGTGTAACTGAACAGGAAAATCCTAGCCAAAAATCACCTATGCAACATAGAGTCATGACACCCCCTCCAGGTCCTTCCAACAGTTAACCCATTATTTCACGTACACCACTTCCAGATCTGTCGACAGCTGCTGGAAAACGTTAACGAATTCAGTTACGTGACATAAGTGATTCTGAAGAGAGTGAATCCCTGCCGTCCGAATGCTTAGACGATAATACAGATAGTGATGCTAAAGAAGACGAACAGGACGAAGAGAGTGAAGAAAATCAATACACGTCATTTTCTGATATGCTTACCACACCTGAAATAGCACACAAATAATATAACACTAGGCCAAGAAAACCAGCAATCAATTCCAGAGCACAAGTTGTTACCAAACACCTTTTCGCCAAATCTGATCTAACAGGCAACACTTGTACTCCCAAGTCTAAGAAACCTGCACTAGGAAAAAAGTCTTTCGGCCCGAAGAAAGCGACCAGTAAAGAAAGTTGGTATTGCAAAGCATACAAAATGGACAAAATCGCAGACATGCGTCTTTGCGTGGTTTGCAACAGCTACTTACACGACGACTGCTTGGGACTAACCAAGAAGGATAAATTTGAGGGTTACATTTGTCCATATTGTCCCTAAAACCTTTTTGCTTGTTTATTACTACTTATGTTTATGTTTTTTTTTTATTTGAATAAACGTTAATTTATAAAAACTGACTTTCCTTGTAAAATTTCCGATAAAAACAACATTTTGTACTAATAATATTATGTGGCGCTATTGCTAACCCCCTTGAGACAATATAGCCAATATGAAATGTTTTAAAAGAATGTTCGCAAAATGCACAAACTTGCCGGTAACATCTTTTACTATTTTAAATTATTAGTACGATGTATCAGTAACATTCCTACCCCGAAATTTTTTTTTAATATACAGTACTTTTATATAAAAACATTATAAGCTTATAAAAATAAAGATACTTAGATTTTTAGTTAAGTTTATCATTAAGTACCTGAAATGTTCTTTAAACTTCATAATTAAGGATGTCCTGCGTTTAGTTAACCAATATTTATAGAAGTTTGTGTAGGTAGCATACTGATAGGTAAAGATTTTCAAACAAATTAGTCTTAAACACATTATTAATATTATTTATGACGAAAACGCGGAAACTAAAGTTAAATCAATACTAAATGAAATTCAAAAACACCAATATAATGATAATAATATCTCCAGTTAATAAATCACAAATACCAAACCCGACCAAAACCAACACAATGTGAATAAACAAATATCTTACTTATAGGTGACAAATAAAAGGCACGCGAAAATTAATTTAAATAACAAATACAGTACTACTATATTAAAAAATTAGGACATCATAAAAACTCCTTGTCAAAAAATATACCTTCATAATTTTTTTTTGTACATTGGAAATGTACCCCACTTGGCTTAAACCTGCACTGGAACATATTTTATTCAACTCCGTGCTCGATAATTTGACCAAAAATTTTTAGTAACAACAAGTTAATCAATTAGTATCGAAGTACCATTCTAATGTGAGGAAATGTTCGTTCCAAATACAATAAAAGTACCTATAACGAGTAGTCATATTATTTGCACTCTGTCGGTACCGCGAGTCGGCAGGAATTTATTATCTCTATTTTACGTACTTAATTTATAATTATATTTATTGAGAGAAGGATTACGGCAAACCAAGGATAATTTTTTATTAGATATCCGCTATTGTTGGCAAAAGAAAAGACATGTTTGTGGTGTAAGATGCAGTTAAAGTGAAAGGTCGAGTTTTGTGCACTTTTTGTTTAGGTACTTTTGGTTTTAAATTGTAAGTAAAAAAATCATTTTTACTTTTATTTTGTATAATCAAAATTAAAATAGTTAAATAAATTGGATCAAGTGTGTCTAAACCTTATGTAAATATTTTACAGTATTTTATCACTCAAATAAATAATTTTAAATCAATACAAAATAAAAAAAAAAATTAGGACTATAAAATAATTATACAATATTTATTGTGTGTATTTTTTAAAAAACATACATGAACATATAAATATATCTTTGAAGGTAAATTTTTTTCTTGTGGAAAATTTGTTTAGCGATTATTCCTTTAATGTTTTCATCGATAATATGTAATTATAAAGGTGATGTTACTATATATTTATATTGAAATAAAAAATAACAGAAAATACTTTCTAATTCTATGAATTTCTTTCTTGTTTTTACAGTAAAGAATTGCTTCTAAAATAACACAATTGTTATTTTTTAATTCATTAAATATAAATTTGAACACATTTTGTTCTACTCTTCTAAATGGTCATTCTGTTCTTTCGAAAAATTTGGAATGTATTGTAAAACTCTTTTCTACTAGCCATATTTTTTAGTTCGAAAACAAATAATAGTCACTAGATGTTAAGTTGGGTAGAAAATATGCAATTGCATAATTCCAACAATTTTGTTGTTTCAATTACATAGGTGGGATCTATGCATCTATAATTACACAATTATCTAGCTTCTTTTATAGTTGAAACCTTGTGGTACTGTAAGATATTACTCCGCATTTTTAGGTCTTTATCTAAATTGTCAATAAAGAAATAAATATTCCAGCAGGAGTAATCATAAACCTTTTCCACTGATGGAAATATTATATTATAGGAAGTTTTTAGTAAAAATTAGTTACAAATCATTTTAAAGAGAGTTCAGAAGAAATTTCTAAAGCATTTACGATAAGATACTTGAGTAAAAGGTGTTATTTTTACCTCACAAATACTCTTGAGTGTCCTTTGCTGGAAATTTAAACTTTACATAAGTGCTTTTGGTCGGTTTAATGTTTGTAAAAACCCATCTAATCTGCTTTCAAAATAAATGTAGAATGGACAAAGCTGCAATTAATTTAATAATATTGAATGATAATGGCAAAATAATATTCTAAAATCTTACCATTCGCCTTTAAATTCAGTTTAGGTTCAGTCCCATTCCTCATGATGATTTTTGTTTGTAAAAATTATGTCTGCAAACAGTAACTACATCTCGCTCCATGCATGCTAAAATTTCAAATTTTTTCAGGTTATAAACAAAATATGGTCCAGGTTTGGCTCAGAGGGCGTACCCTAACCCAAAATGTTTAAAATCACACAATAATATTTCTCTTTATAATTTAAATAAAAAGTAATTCATTTGAAATTTTATGGAAATCATTACATGACTTTTCGTAGCTAGAACACTAGAACAAATTCATATAAAAATATAAACACTACTAAATATTAAAACTAATGTAGGAACCGAAGCAGAATATATTCTGTCTCCTCGATTTTTCATTTTGTGATGTCAAATATATGTTAATGCATGTCTAAACTTTAAAATTATTGTTAATTCTATTGCGCACAATTAAAATCGGTTATATTTATAAGTAAAACTAACCTGTGTTTGTTAAATCACTTATAACACACACAAAACTAACTCACGTCAACACTCAATTTTTAATCATTAAACATGGTTTTTGAATACCTAAACAAACCTAAATTAACTAAAATTAAACAGCCCAAGTTTAAGATACTGAAATCACAATAAAAATTTTAATATTTGGCAAATGTCAAATAATCAACTTTATGTCGCAGCGTTATACGCAAGATCGGTTGTTTGTTTAGACTACTAAAGAAAATTATATTACTATAAAATAATCAAAATTAATGTTTAATAAACATTTTTAGATTATTACCTACTCAATGTATATTTTTTAAACACCGCTGGTCCTTACAAATTTGATCTAATAAATTTTGAGTTTCCATACTCGGAACGAATTTATTTAATGCAAAACCATCGATGATAAAATTTGGAGAACTCGCGGTATTACCTTCGGTTAAACTTTCTAATACGTTTGTTGAAGCTTGATGACCTAGAGGTGGAAGCCTTCTGCTTTTTTTGTGATTTTTAAATCGGGAAGAGGCCTTCCAAATTCTTTGATTTTAATTTTGTTCTCGACTGAGTACGTAGAAAAAGATTTATTTAACATGTTGCATATTTTATTTGTCTGGAACGATTTGTGTGCAATATTTTAAATTTATTATTATACAGAAAGCTAATATGCGGCCTGGCCTGCTGATGCTGTTACACACAACACCAACATGTGACTGAAATACTCAAAAAACTAATTCGAGCCACTTGCTTAGGTTACTCCGCTTAAACCGTCTATGTAGTTTCTGCATGTGTAACGTAACCGTTTTCAATATAATAATATGTATTGATATGCTTGCAGCCGGGCCGTTGTGAAATGTGCTCGGATGGAATATCATCCAGTGAGTTGAGTCATTAGCTTGAATTATTTATTGTGTCTTGGAATGACATATTTTCTCTTATGTGGAATAACTCGACGAGAACTTTTTCATCTGCATCAAATAACATACTGATAAATAATATAAGCCAACATAAATTTTGGTGCCTGCGATTTTTCAACTGTTCCTGGGTAATTTTTGGGTGTAGAATCCAAAGTAGTCATCAGATTTCGTTTATCAGATCTAGTTTTTAAGATAGGCAATATTTACCATTTTTTAACTTGTATTTATTTTACGTTATAACTATTATTGTCAGTAAAAAAACAAAAACACATAAACTTAAGAATTTATTACAAAGAGTAGATTCACATACAGTCATACTCACATTAGTCACTTATCACCCAAAATTATCTTTTATACGACTTTCTAGCATAGAGTTTACTAGGGCAGTCTCGCTGAAAGCTCCAACTAGTCGGCTATCATGTGGCTATCCCATCCCATCGTCCTTGATATTGATCTTCCACAGTTTTAATGTCCTGATAGAATCTTTCTTCCTGTTCTTCACTACAATCATCTAAATTTTCTGGAAAGCGATCTAGCTGGTCGTGTAGGTAGTGAACTTTTATGCTCATGTTATAACTGAGAATATTATAATTTGAAACTAGTTTCCACTAATTCTATGTAATTCTCTGCTTTATCATTTCTATGAAAATTTTGTACTACTTGAATAAATAAACACCATGCGTTAAATTCAGTCTCACTCATTGATGTAGTAAATTATGGATCGTTAATAAGTGCCTTATTTGAGGACCATCAAATATTTATACCCTCTTTTAGTTTTTCCATGCTAATCCCAGAAAGAGATTTACGTGACAAGTACACAAAACAATTTTCATCACGATTTAAAGCTTTCATAAATTGCTTCATAAGCCTCAACTTGATATGCAAGGGTGCTGGTAAGATTTTTCTTTCGTAACCAAAGGTTCGTTGATTACGTTTTGTTTTCCTTGAACCATAATATCTCTTAAAGACCAATTTCTGTTAACCAAGTGTTGATTTTTAGATTTGCTGTCCCAAAGACATTAAAAACAGGGGTATTCACTATATCCACTTTGATGACCAAGGAGGAAGTTAACCATTTTTAAATCAACGTAAATTGCCCACTGATGTTTTCCGTATTTAATTTTTTGCAAACCTAGTGTTATTCTTTTATATTCCTCTTTCATGGTAGTAGAATAAGCAATAAGAATTAAGCCATATTTGTTACCGTTAAGTAAAGGGACACATTTTGGACTACATTGTGGACTGTCAATAAAAAGGCGCCAATTGTCTAGTATGTATTCTGAGAAACCCATTTTTTCTTTTATATTGTTACAGAATATTAGGTTAATTTCCCGGATAAAAAAAACATACGATAACATGTAATATTAGTACCTAGATAGAGAAGATTAATTTCTTTTAATCTGTATGCAGGTAATTCAACAGTGTTCTTTGAGTGGTTTTTGTTTCTTATGAGATAGTTTAGTTCTTGTTGATTGATACACTGAGGAGTTGTTAAATGTGCTTCAAATTCGCTGTCGGTTTCCAGTTGAATTCTTGTTTGCAACCTACAACCTGTTCCGTGAGTTCAGGAAGACTACTGAAAGATGGAATGGGTATTTCTTCTGGGTGCAGTACAAGTCTTCTTGCAGAATCTAGATCAGGATATGTCCATTTCTGTCTATTGATCTTATTAATACCTTTAATATTAACGAGACAATAATAGCAGTCATTATAATGGTTTTGTGGTTCCCCCAAACCATTGATACACCAAACTTTAGGCACTTCATCTTTCCAATTATCCACTGTGTAGCTCAAGACTTATCCTGGTCTCCCAAAGTCAGAAATAGTTTTTCTACTTTCTTTTAAAGTGTATTCGCCACATACATAACAAAAAATATCTGGATAGTTTACACAGCTACGTTTGCTTTATGGATTAAATTATACAAATTTGATAGTAGGAAAATATATGGGTTGCTATATCTTAGAGATTTGCCACATAGACCCAGTAACATATATGAAGGGGTCACCAAGAAAAGGGGGAAAATATTTGTCAGCTTAAGTTGGCAATACTTTTCTGATGTTCGTTTGTTGAACACCACAATTATTATTTGTCTTGCAATCATAATATTATAAAAACCAAGACAGATCTACTTTTTAAGGTAAATTGGTGGCCAAAATTGCCTGACAAGAAATTGTGGTAATTCAAGTCGTAATTGTTAAAGTGTTATAATACAAAGTTTGATAGACTTTTGCGGCCTAGGCAGCTGGAGCCCTCATCTCATTTAAAAATCTTGTGTCTTCATATTGCATTTTGAAATAAACCAAACCAAAATAGCACAAAATTGAAAGTGAGTCATTTTTCACGATGTATTCTACATGTAAAATTATGAATAATGGATTAAATTTAAATATTTTATCGTTATCGTTATCGCAATTATTTTATGTTAAACAACATGAAATTTTATTTAAAAAAAAGTGCCTATATATTTTTTTTTAAATTGGTATGCGTCCAAGATGAAAGGCTATGTCGCAACCAGCCCTGGAAAATAATATCAAAAACCTATTTGAAAAATGAAAATTCATAAAATTAATATCAAAGAAAATTAAGTGTGCGCATGCTTGTTAAATATAAAGCTTTGCATACACGAATGTCAATAATGTGTTATCTAGTTTATTAATTAAGTATGATTACACACCAATATATTTTTTCTTAGCTAGACACGCATAAAGATAACATAAAAAAAAATTATCGTTAAGAGCAATTATTGTGACATGCCTGAATTAAATCATAAAAATCGTAATTACTCAATATCATTTTAAATTAGAATATAAAAATTTCAATAAAATAATTCTACGTTAATTAATAAAAGCCTAAGCAAACTAAAATATAAATAAAATATTTTAATTAATATAAAATGCTCTTCCTATGAAAAAATAATAATCCATACTATTTTCAATTGTTTCTGTAAATTTTAATGAAACCATTAGATATTTTATTTAAATTATGTCCCTCCCTCTCCTCCTTCTTCGATTGCTTACCTTATAAATACGAGTATATTGGTAATTAAAAAAATATTTGTTAGCGAATGGCTTATATCGAAATAGATATTCTGGAAGGAGCCAATAATCATCCGATTTATTTCAGACTAATTTGTCCTTATTTTGGTATATAAAATCATAAAATTCTACTTGGCAACCACATCTTTTATTTTATATAAATAAAAGTTTCTTTGGTTTTACCAATCACTAGGTACATAAGTATGTTTCGGGAAGCAAAGTGGATCAAATTCATAACACATTCGCCAGCGTCTTCTGGAAAATTCAACTCTCACTCTGGATATCACCGTAGACAGTAGTTTCGTTGTCGTTTTTTTGATGTAGCTCCCCTTTGAAAAAAAATGCGAAAGGGGCTCCCGAAGACCTTGGCACGCCACTGTGATTTAATTATTTTAATTAAAAAAATGAAATAAAAAGAAATTATATGAACAAATTAAAGACTTATTCAAACTTACTGGATAGGATGGAAGGGCAATCGTCTTTCTTATATCCTGGAGATGAACCTTCCACTAAAGTCGCACAATGTGAGGTAAATAAAAGCCGTATTAAAAGGTTTACAAAATTTGCGGTTTTGCATCCATTTTAGGGTGAGATTACAGAACGTCTGCAACTTTGCAGATCTGCAAATATGGCGGCAACTTTGCAGATCTTCAAATATGGCGGACTTACAGATGCAAGTATCCAAAAAATATCTGCAAATTCGCAAAATTTATTACCCCTAACAACACTAAATCCAAATCCACCCTTAAGAAGGTTAGAATAACATCCTACAACCATGCAGTCTTCTGTTTCTTTTGATTGAATACAGTTCAAGGTGTCAGATTATCGAGTTTTTTAACATAGTAATGGATTTGGGTTTAGTATTGTTGGTGATAATAAACCACAATAAATATTGCGAGTTTGCAGAACTTTTTTGGAATACATGCACATGTAAGTCCGCCATATTTGCAGACGTTCTGTAATTTCACCCTTTAACTGTATCATACAATTTATTGCATTCGTTTTCCTTCTGTTTTGTGCCGTAGTTCGACAGTCTTCAAAATCGGCGAAGAACAAAAAAGTGTCCAAAGTGTAGAACTAGGACGGTTGAGTATTGGAATAGAAGGAAATGAATAAATATGTATCAAGTAAATCTTTATCGTAATTAAATATAAAAATTATGAAAATAAATAATTAATATTAACCAACGCATAGCGTTCATAAAAAAGCAATAATACAAAATATAAATAATATAAAAATAAATATATATGTAAATAAAAAAATAAAAAACCAAAATATATAAATGTACAGGTACAGAACACGAATTCACGTGAGCAAAATCGCGGGCAACAGCTAGTTATTAATATTATTATTATTATTATTATTATTATCATAGTGGTGTGGTTTGTGAACAATTATTATGAATAATTGATGTGTTTAATATATTGAACAAATGCATTAAAACACGTGGAAAATAAGTTTGTTTACGAGTCGATATGAATGCGATATTATAAATATTAGCAACCGGTCATAAGTCTAATTATACATAACATAAATTACAATTTTTAAAAGGTATTTATTACTGTTACCTAACTTAAGGTTTTAGTTAAAAACATGCAGGTAATTATTTTCTTTTATTTTTATAATTAATGAATATTGAGTGTTATGAATTTAAAAAAGATCCACCGCTATTAAAGATCGAATTGATTACTGAACATTTTACTTAGATACTTATGGACCGGAAGCTGCTGTATCAAAACTTACATCATAGGGTATAACATTTTTGACTCTCAGATATGATTTGGATCGATAACACTATTTAAAAATGTTTTGATTTACAACTCAAACCGAGGGCATTTTTGGCCACTACCAATTGATAAATTTAAAAAAAGGACCACAATTTATATCACAAAAACCAACGGATTTTGTGTGGTAAGGCAAAATAGTTTAGGACTCTCTTTTCGCAACACAATTTTTTGCTAGATTATTCCTTACTAAATGTACCACCCAAAAACTATTCGAAAGAGCAAATATTGGCTTACGTGCTTTAAAATAAAGATTTTTGGAAAAAGGGCCAATATTTACGTCATAAGGTATAAGGATAAAACTAATGTAATGTGTGAAACTGAATCTCCAATCTAGAACAGTTTCGTAAAACGAAATATTAGAGGATTTTTACCCGTAAGATTGAACTGAAATAAAAAAAACTGAAGACAAATATATGTCATGAGGTGTAAATACGAAAAGAAGAAAAATGGGCCGTAAGTTCAGTGTATTCTAATAACGAATCAGAAGAAGTCTGAATGTTTCTATAAAATAATTTTTTTTAGAAATTGATCAAATTCAAGATAATTCTATCTTAGAAAATTATGATTTAATAAATTCTAGAGAAGAAAACCCGGCAAACCAGCAAAGTGTGCAACCCTGTGTGAAAACAAATCGATCTGCCATTGGTTTGATCTGATTTTTGGTCAAGGTTTTTTTATAACTGATAGTTTTCTATATAAGGTAGGTAATAAAAATTGATACGTGAAGCAGCCTTTACCTTTCTTTTACCTGAAACTTTATAGGTATTCACGTTAGATTTATACCAATAAAATTTAAAATATTACCACTACTCACACTGTATTTATTTTACACTATGTAAATAGTTCCTTCATTAGAAAACAACTCATTGTTTTGTTATATTACATTGTAATATATAGGGTGTTAGTATATTCGACCGACAGCGCTCTACCCCAGAGAGCTTTCGTTAATTGATAAATTTTTGTATAGGAACATGGATCCATGAATCAAAAACGCCTTTAAATATATTTTCAAAGTTGGTGACCAATATGCTCTTTAAGAAAGTAATGTTTGGACATAAACTAATTTTTGAAAAAATTAACCAGTGGCGCGCTATCAAGATTAGCGGCAATTTTTCCCCTCTATTTGTTACGCCACTAGAACCAATATTATTTTATATAAATAAAGAGTTCCTTGGTTTTTTCGGTCAAAAAGTTTTAATTTTGTTATAATTTAAGCACTACATATGTTTCGGAAAATACAATGTTTCCATCTTCTGGTGCAGTCAATTTATAAAAAGTATGGGGACGAATACAAACGGTATAAAAATTTTTAAAATAATAAAATCTATTTCACATCGTATGAAGATGTTTTCGAAATAATAATTTGGTTTAACACGATAAAATAGGAAAACAAAAAGATGAGTTTTTACAAATTTAAAATTACCAGTGGCGTTACAGTTAATGAATAAAAAGCTTACAACTAGTTTATAAGATTAAAATAAACGTTTGATAAATCTTTCTTGTAGTTTTCTTCTAATATTATATATAAACACAGATGATAATTTATTATAACGTTTACTAACTATAAACATACAAAATATAATAATTATGTGTAACAAAGAATGGCGTGTCAACTTGTTACTTTTAAAAGCTTTCATCTTGTTCAGTTCTAATGACATCTGACCATTGACATTACTTTTCCTTCTTAGATCAACAAAAAACTAGACTCGAACTTATATAAAGGAAAGCATCACTTATAAACTAAATGGGTTTATAACAACACCACCTCTTAATGCTTTTCTTTCTACAATATAAAATAACTAAATGTATACAAACATAAAACAAGATCCTAATTACATTTACCTTAACATAAA